ACAGCTTTGCTCGGCTCGGTGATCCGTTCGGTACAGTGGTATAACACAGGGAGGCATCGGTCCCGTAACTTTGTTCCCAGAATCGTTTCGCAGATTTGGAACACAGATTTGAGATCAGCGTTCGAAACCACCTAGGGGGATATACATCTCATCTTGAATGGCCACTGCGACCAATTATCCTTCCCTTGTGAGTTGCATCCCGGATGAAAAACAAACTAAAAAGGAAAACGAGTAGAAGTTACACGATTACATTAGCGCTATTCCCCTCACCTCGTTGGGATCAACGTTAGGAATTAAGAGCAAATATCAAAGCGAATATAAAGAATACAAAAGAAGGCAGAGTCATGAGCCACGAATTTCCACGCGTAAAATAGATTGATGTACAATACAACGAATACGATTTAATATAAAACAACAAATGAATATCACAAAAAGTTACTAGTTCTTGTCAAAGCAATTCGGCTTCCTTCTTATAATTACCCCAGGATCCTGTTGCAATAAACTCAAGATAACTGGTGTTAGTCCCCAAAGGAAAACCTGCTTATCAAATTATTCACTACCCATCGAAAATACAGATCCATCGGCAATGCTAGTAGTAGAATAAAGTAACTAGAGAAATACCTGATGCATCAGTAGCAGATAGTAGCAAAATAAACAGCCAAAGGAGTAAACCAGTGAATAACGACAGTAGTTGAATACAAGACAGTAGTAGAGAAGTACCAGACGCATTTGATGGGAAATAGTAGCGGAATAAACAGCCAAGCGAATAAACCAGTGAATAACGACAGTAGTTGAACACAAGTAGAGAAATACTCGACGCATTCGATAGCAGATAGTAGGGGAATAAACAGAAGAATTTAACCGTGAGTAACGGGTGATAATTTACCTGAAAATCGTCGACTATGCCAATACACAGTCACTGGTAGTTGGTCGCAGCAGTAGAAAAAACAGAGCAATACCTGACGATTTCGGCAGCACAAGTCAGAGGGTTAAGCGCTCCGTCGAATAATGTAGCGAATAGCAGAGTAGCGGTGTACATGACCATCGGCGCCCCAGCGCAATTTTAGGGGTAGATTCATCCCCCTGCCAGGGTGGGGATTCAATGGGGTCGGGCTTCTCTGAGCTCTCGATAAGGTAAGGTCGCAGAGGCAAACATCGCATGATTGTGGAGGGCTGTCGATTCTTCACCTGTTTATAGGAAAAAACTTTGCTCCATTTTCACTATCTTGACCAAAAACCTACCATTTAAACGTTCGCGCCCTTCGCAAACATTTCCTAGGGGAGACTCTTTCCTTCCCTGCACTGGACGTTATGCATACGGCCCCTGGTGGCTCTCGCTTCCTACGGTTTCTTATCAGTCTCTATCAATTGCTATCATTCCCTGTCACCAATTAGCAGCGGTTCCATCACCTCCTACACCACCTGCCGAAGTGCCAAGGTTTCATCGTTAATACAAAGGGAGTTATGGGTCCTGTGGCTTTTACCTTTTAAGGCTTCTTATCTGTCTCTACTATTACATACCATCGGTGTTTCCATCCTGTCGCCCTTCTCTCTTTCAAATTTGAATGCTTTAGCTACAGTGGGACAGGAGTTATGGATTTCCGGTCGGGCAAACACACACACACACATACACACAAAAACACCAACAGACACACCTAGCCGTTTATATAAGTAGGATGTTTGTGACTTGTTAGGGTATCCTGTTTTCTCTTCATTTAGATATCCATTGCAACAAAATCAATCCGACCACCAAAATGTGGAAATCGGCAGGATGGGTCATGGACTTTGATAGTGGTGTTATCAACAGTTGAGAACAATAATAAGTACCATTTTCGTTCGACCAATAAGGTTGGTCAGCCAGAGAGAATACCCTGTGCCAGTAAAGGTAACAAATAAAAGTAATCGACGGTGTGAAGATACGGAGCAGATGACATTTCTCTTTTCAAAAACGCTGGAGGGGAGAAGGCAATATTGATGAAGGAGAGCTCAGCAGAAACACAACCATTGTAGCTGATACGTGGTGTTGTTTACGCTCATGCGCTAAATAAATTCAAGAGAAAGCGAAGGGTCAGCCGATTGGTTCCACTTCGTCGTAGGGTAGCAGGGAATTTCACCGTGGTTTGTTAACTGATATGAGAAGGGTAGGCAATGAAGAAAGAAAAATGAATGTGGCAGCCAAATTCCAAATACTGCGTGGACAAACACAGTACTATGCCAGTAACGATCGAAGTAACAGTGTTGAGATACTACCAGTACAGTACGGTAGAAATCACCTTCGTTTCTTCTCAACTTTACTATGCGCGTTCAGAAAGGCAGATTGATTCGTACTGATATGTGACCAAACGCAACCGACACCCCCAGCTCTATAACTAATTATTCTCTCACAAACCGAGTCATATTTTGGCTAATAATATTTTGGCAGGGAAGTTTTGCGACAAAATTCGAAACGTCAAAAATTTTGTATGAACACTGTGAATACACACGGTAGCAAGAGTGATAAATTTATAGGACATTCTCCGGACAATCATCAAGGGGTAACCAATGGCACGCATGTAGGCTTTCGCAAACTTATCATTAATGATTGGACAGCACCATATCCGTACCATCACCTTCTACTAGGCATGTCAAGGAAAAACGGATGTGTAGCGGCTGAAATTATAAGCCATCTTATTGCTGTAAGCACTGCTCACCGATCAAGGGCCAAAAGAGGTTGAACCGCTTCACTGCAGGAGATGGAACCTTCGAAGTTGAAGATCATGCTTTCATAGTTTTGTGAGGCGTGATGGGATCCATCCACTATGAGCTCGTGAACGCAGACTGGATAGTCACAGCTACCGCCTACTACTATAAATCCGAGCATTTGGCCAGCGCGGGTGCGCTAAGATCTGACAATAGCTCCTCGTTCTTCGAGTGTCAGTTTCCTGACTTCTAACAAAAAGCTCAACGATTTGTTCAAAGTGTAAGAGAAGGTCGCTGATCACTCCAATGAATATGTA